TGCGCAGTAGTGTAGTAATAGAGGTTACGAGGTGATCACCTCCCATCTTGAAAAGAGTGGGAGGGAGCTCATCAGGTCCTGCTGCCTTTTCTCGCTTCAGAGATTGGATGCAAGACCAAACTTCTGCTTCCGTTGGAGAATTGCATGACTGCCCACGGAGCTTCAGTCGGAAATGAAGCAGCCTGGTCAGCACTAGGCCAGCTGAACTGTTCGTTTAAGTATTCTGCCCGGCGATCGAGTCGTTGATCCCTATTGTGAATAGCTCGNGGAGCTTCATTGGAGATGAAGCAGCCTGGTTAGCACTAGGCCAGCTGAATTGTTCGCTGAAGCATTCTACCCAGCGATCGAGTCGTTGATCCCTATTGTGAATAGCTTGTCCCCTCTTATTGCAGACTGCTTTACTAACTGGAGTTCGCCGTATTGCAAATCAGTCGGAACAGTCTTTGACTACTCCCTGATGCAGCCGCTACTTCTATTTCACTAGCTATTGTTGAAAACCAGTTCGCATGGTTTTTTTTGAGGCTGTTCGTGAACTTACGTTGTAGATGCCATCCTGGCAGGTCGGCATTTGTCGTTTTTTCTCCATCGGGGCTACTGACTCCTGAGATATCCAATACCTCCGTTGGGCTTGAGGCTCAGTCCCACAAGCAACATTCGCTGCGGAATGCATTGCTCGCTTAATCTGATTCCACTGCTCATTTAAATCACCACGTTGATGCGTACTTAGCTTACGCACTAGCTCTGGCTCATAGAGTGCATTAACTGCTGGAGCAGATAGTCGTTGATGTGCTATCCGAGCTTTCTGGTTTTGTTGCCGATCAGTCAGTCGGAGAGTGAACTGCATCAAAACTAATGCGTGGTCAGACTCAACGCAGGTGGTCCAATAGGACCTGCAATTTTGCACTGAGCCACGCCAACGGTAACTTACTGCTATGTGGTCGATTTGAGTTAACGTACCAGTTGAATTGGAGCGCCACGTTGCCGTCCGTCGAGAACTGTGTCGGAAGTTGGTACTTGATAGGAACAGATGATGGTCTGCGCAGAACTGAAGAAGTCGATCGCCGTTATCTGTTCGTTGGCTGGGCAGAGCACAACAACCGCCTAGGCAAGCTTCCGATGGGCTCAGTTTTCCAACCTGCGCGTTGAAGTCACCTGCAAGTACAACTATGTCCGAGCTTAGACTCCTACAAATGAGATCGTTGAGGTCATCGTAGAAGGCGTCCTTTTGGGTATCAGAACTGCAATTGGAAGTCTGACCCCGTCCAAATGTTGTATGACCTGAAGAACTGAGCATCGACCCTCAATGGATGGCGGCTTTAACACACCGCCCTGTGGGCCAAACTTTGGCTAGCCCAAAACCAGTTGTGGCTGGGTAACTGTGCAGTACTCCATCCACGAGCAAATCTTAAAGTTATTTCTTTCAGTGTCAGGACTTCGGTCGACACGGGCAGTCAATGGATGTACGGAGTAGACACCGCCTATCTGTTCGGCTGCAAAACTCATGTCCTGTAAGAATCAATTCATTTAAGTCCAACGGAAACTATCGTCAGTGGCCACTGGTCGCTTACCAAGAATGCTGTGCATTCTGCTAGCTTAGTTAGTTGTGGTCTGACACGCCGTGGCGTGAGACCCTGGATTTCTGCTGAATCTGCGCCTTATTGAGGCACGTCGGTCACTTCCGACCAGCAGCGAGCATAACGTAACACGGCTTGTAATGAGACGTGAACTTAACGTAAGCCTACGCAAGAATCGCGAGATCTAGTGATCTCAACGCGCATCAGCGATGGAACGTGCTGCCCCCATGGGAAACTCCTGCAAGTGGTTCCATCTCATCCGAGTCACCGGTAGGAAAACCCTGGATGTGAGCGAGACGATCTATGAAGCTGACGGGTCGCTTATTCATAATCAACAGTGACGTCTTGAACGCTGGACGAGGCATTCCAGAGCACAATTTAGCTGGCCACCCGCGCCAGCTTCTCACACAGCTATTCGGGCACACGTCCCATGGTCTATTTCAACAGACCCACCTTCTGAGGCGGAAATCCGTAAGGGGATCCAAGCCTTGGGACGTCACAAAGCGTCGGGCTCCAATGGCCTTTCTCCAGCTCTATTTAAAGATGGTGGAATAAAGCTTGTTAGAGAACTACAAGCTCTGTTCTCTAAAGTTTGGAACACTGAGCAGGTCCCCTCCTTGTGGAGGGAGTTGAGTGTTGTTCCCATTTTTAAAAAGGGTCAATCATTCTAATCTTGTAAGATATTATTTATTATTCCATACACATCTGACGCCGATGACCACTGTCAAACTGAAGAGGGTGAGTGAGTGAGTGTGGTTTGTACGCTTCTTCTTGGTTAGTTTAGAATCTGGGGTGAGAAAACACCTCCGTCACGAGAAAGCAGTGAACAGGGCTTCCTCAGCTGAGACTATTCAAGGCGCATGGTCGTATGGGAGCATTTCGCGAGGTTAAAATGAGCGGTTACCACCCGAAGAATACTTGCCATCAGAAGCGGTCCATCGGGTATTAGCGGAGCTGAACGTAAGTAAATCTTCAGGGTTCGATGGAATCCACCTGGTAATCGTCAAGCCGATCGCGGATATGGTAGCGGGACCGCTAAGGGATTTGTACCAAGCCAGCCTAGACCCGGGCAAGCTACCGAGGAAATGGAAAACAGCTGCAGTTGTTGCCATTCACAAGGGAGGATCACAATCCCAGATTAAGAATTACAGACCGGTGAGCCTAACGAGTATATTGTGCAAGTGCCTAGAACGGATGGTGAGGACGCACATTGCACAGCATTTACTCCATAACTCACTGCTTACTGATCAACAGCACGGGTTTACTAAGGGTAGATCATGTTTATCTAATTTACTTTGTTTTTAGATGAGGTAACCTTGAAGTTAGATGAGGGAAAAGCTGTGGAAGTCTGCTATTTAGACTTTTGCAAAGCTTTTGATTCTGTCAATCGCAAGTTTGTGTTTGCTAAGCTCAAACACAAGGGGATAGGTGGGCAGATACATAACCGGATCCGAGAATTCCTGACCGGTCGTACGTTTTACGTGAGGATTGGAGACAAAGTATCAGCAGAAGCCATACCCACTAGTGGAGTGCCACAGGGCTCAGTGCTTGGTCCCTTACTGTTTCTCATTTTCATTGACAACTTGGCTACCATCGTACGTTCGCCATGCTTCATCTTCGCAGATTATGTCAAGATAGTGGGATCAGCCAGTCGGCAGCAACTGCAGGATGACCTGCGTAGAGCAACGGAATGAGCAACAGTATGGTAACTCCCACTAAATGCAGAGAAAAGTAATTTAATTTCCCGTGCTGATGAATAGTTGTCAATCCATTTAGGTGGAGGGGATTTCACTGCACGGATTGTAAGAACCAGCAGAGACATAGGAATATCGGTGGCGGCACATTTCCACTGGGAGAACCAGTGTGTACTGGATGCAGCGAGGTCGAGTAGAGAGCTGTCCAGGCTCAAGTCGGTACTATCGTGTAGGAAACCCGACGTATTCCTCCCCCTGTACAAAGCCATAGTTAGGCCGCACTTGGAGTACTGTGTGCAGGCTTGGGAACCCTTCTTCAAAAAGGATGCAGTCTATTTGGAGAAAGTCTAAAGACTAGCCCCCCGAATGATTGAAGATCAAAAGAGTAAGTCATACCAAGACAGTCTAACAGACTTAGGACTCTTCTCGCTAGAAAGGAGAAGACTATGGGAGACTTACTGGAAACCTTTAAAATTGTGAAAGGGCTCTCGGGAGTCAGAAAAGAGAGCATGTTCCAGGAGGCTACTTGCCAAGGAACTAGAGCGAACGGGTACAAACTACATAAACAGCGGTGCAACCTGTTTGTTAGATCCAGCTTCTTCAGCAACAGAGTAGTGAACAGTTGGAACCGGTTGCTAAAGGAATTACTAGATTTAGGAAGCATGACTGCATTTAAGCTCGCCCTGAATGAGCGATGGGTAGAGCTCTTTCCAGAGTAGGATCTTTATTGTACTATGGGACGCCTTCATGACCCATGTCCCCTGTTCGCCAGTGAGGTAAAAGGAGACGAGCTTTTTCTTTTTCTTTCAGCAAGGACACCGTACTGAAGGCAATTCGCAGTGGTGGGCGCACACCTTGTGAGCATACTGCCGGAAGAAATCTGGATGCTCGATTGACCGTGGCCATTATCAGTCCTGTGCAACCTGACCTGATTTGAAATGACCTTGAGCCCTGGGATGCCTTTGTTTTAATCCTCGATTTCAAAATTTCTGATCTGCTTGTATTAGTGGTTATTAACTGCTTTTTGGAATTGTGCCCCAAGTGACCGTACGTGAACAACAGGATATGATTTTATCGGAGCAGCGACCACTCGGGGATATTGCTATTCCAAAATTAGACTCTGACGATGAGGATATTTCTTTTCCAAGGATGAAGACTAGGCGTCCGGCTAGTCCGATACGCAGCGTCGAAGTTGTTCTCGATGGTAAGTTTTGGTCAGTAACCATATCCGCATCAGCTGGTGTGCTGTCTTTTAGGGCTTGTGTATTTTATTATGCATCCCGAAAAATGCTCACCTTATTTACATTCCTGCATTTAATTAGCCAGCATTTGGTGGGCTCGTGGTTTCCTGTGCATTTAGCAAATACGGTTAATAAAACATCGCGCTCCTTGCTTCCCTGCTAGAAATTTTGATGATCGNCTCGTACGATACACCATCATCATCATCTTCATCATCATCATCATCTTACAGCGAGATACAGTGAAGTGAGCTTCACTGATCGCTGCCAAGCTCACATTGTACACAAGTCAAGTGATAAAGCACAAGATGGAGGGAGATTGGGCCTACTTGGAGGGAGGCAAAGAAAAAGAACCTCTATGTTCAACACAGCACACAATCTAAGTGTTTATGCATACCTTTTTTCAAGCATTCTGCCTTGTTAAGAAATGACAAGAGCGCCACTGCTGTCGGTTAGTCGCCATATGCTTTAATGTCTCCAACCAACCAGTTGCAGTCTTTCGGACCCCAACCTGGAAGACGGGAGACACCTATTCTACCTAATCGCTCTGTGCGTTTCTTCATGCCTCTTTCCATGTCACCTGTTGACCTCCACATGGTTTCCTCCAACCTGGAGAGGCAACTGCGAATAAGGCGCGGTCCGGTAGACGATGGTTGGGCATGCACAATGCGTGTTCTAACCAGTGAAGACGACTAATCTGAATTCGATGGGACAACGAAGTCTCCATCGAATCATTACCAAACACGCGACGCCTCACTTCAGAGTTGCTTACAAGCTCTCTCCATTCAACCCGAGCCAAACTACGTGAACATCTGCAGTGGAATACTTCAAGACGGCGAATATCTTCCACGCGCAAATTTAGAGTCTCGCAACCATAGAGCAGAACTGGCCGCACACTGGCGCAGTATGCCCGACCTTTCGGTTTCGACGAAACATCGGGTCTACACCAAAAGTTGTTTATGTCTTGCGTAAGCCGCTTGAGCCTTAAAAATGCGGGCGGTTACTTCATTGACTATGCTACCTAAGAAGGTGAAACAATCCACTATGACTAATTCTTAACCATCAATCAGTCAGGGTAGGTGACACCCGATCTTGTGGTATCCCTTTGCGCTTTGAAGGTGCAAAACGCATCCCGAAAAGAGATACAGAACTTGCTAGTTTGTCAAGAGCGCATTGCGCATCCTCCATGGATTCGAACAGGAAAAGATGTCGTCAGCGTACTCTAGGTCGCACAGCTTTTCTCCAGTACTTCGTCTACGACGAAATTGAACAGGAAAGGCGAAATAGGGCACCCTTGACGGACACCGCCCCTGGTTTCGAAAGATTTACGTAGCCCATTGTAGACTCCTACGCTACCAGAAGTATTCAAATACAACGACCGCAATAAGTTTACATACAGAAGTATGCACGTGCAGCGGACGCAGTAGGTTTACGTATTTCCGCGGCATTCCTTTGCGAAGCAGCGACCCCAGAAGAGCTTCACGGTCAACTGAATCGAAGGCTCCTTTTAGGTC